GCTTGTGCAGGAGGCCCTTGCTGCTGGCCCCACCTCACCTCTCTTCGGCAGGCTGTGGATTGCTAGGCCCACGGTCGAGTTTGATATTCACCCTGAAGAGTCGCCAGTCTTTGTCAATGCTGAGCTGGAGCAGATCCAGCCCTTCATGTTCGACCAGAACAGGCCGCTGTTTGTGGACGGCTCTTGTCTCTCCCCTACCTCCACTGTGCTTGCTCGGGCAGGATGCAGGATTGCAGAGGTTACAGATACGGGCGAGTTGGCGAGAGGAGTACCCGGACACGTACCCGCAGCCTGTCCTCAGACTGCATCACGTGGAGAGCATGCCGCCTTGTTCCACTGTGCCTGCAGGATCCCCGAGGGCCAGCCTTCAGCAATAGTGCATGCGGACTGTGCTGCCCTGGTCAAAGGATGGGCTCCTGAATCTCGTGCTTGGGATGGTCGTTCAACGATGGGGGATATCTGGCGCTTCCTGAAGCAAGACATCAAGGGCTCCTTCTCGGTTCACAATGTCAAGGCCCACGGTGCCCGTGAAGGCCTCTCCGACCCCAGGGAAGTTTTGTTACTCGAGGGAACTCCTGGGCCGACATTTTAGCTAATAAAGGTGCGTCCATTTTCCACGTGCCCAGTGATCTGGAATCTGTGACCCATCTAAAATGGGAGTGATGCTGAGAGCGTGGCCTTTCGCTCGTGATTTGCATGGCCAGCTTGACAGAATCCCCCGTTCCCCGCGCCCCTCTGGCCAACCCCGCGCCCATCACCTGAAGTGGGATGGGCGCAGATGGAGATGTGTCCATTGTGCTAAGTGTTTTCGGGGCCCGTCCAGAGCCAAGGGTAAGTGCGGGGCCATCACTTCTTCAATGCAGAGTTTGTTGCGAATTAAACGTTTGAGAGACCACGTTTGGATGGTTTCGCGTACTGTTGTGCACCAGGCACCCGTTCTTTTCTGCAATCGATGTGGGTCCTACACGTCTGGTAGTGTTGCGTCCCAGCAGTTACAATCAGATTGCACAGTTGAAAAGCCTAAGCAGTTTAGTCCGCTGCGGCGTGGTTTTCTTCATTGGCCGAAGAAGACCAGGATTTGCACTCCTTGGCCCATTCGTCCGCGCCAGGAGTGGTGGGGATACCTTTAGGTATCCCTACTCGACCCATTGCTCACAATTCGCTCGTTGAATGGGTTGCGAGGAGCCTGAGCCGAGGAAAAAGAGGAGGAGGAGGAGGAGGAGGAGGAGGAGGAGGGGGAAGAGGAGGAGGAAGACGAGGAGGCGGACGAGGAGGAGGAGCAGCAGCAGGAGGAGGGGGGGATGAGGAGGAGGGGGAGGAGGAGGTCGACGAGGAGGAGTCTCTGGAGTCTCTGCCTGATCGCGTAGCGATGTGGATCATCAGACCTCCGCCGCCCCACTTGGGGTGTTGTGAGCTTTGGTGGCCTTCTCAGCTCGACTGAGGGCCTTCGGCCAGATCCCCTTGGAAATACGCTTGAAGTATTCCTGCCCCGAGGGGGTGAGCCTACCGCAGGGTTCCCCGAGTTTCCCGAGAACCAACTGAGCGTAAGCTCCACACCTGACACAGAACCACACATTCAGCCCCAGCGTGGAACCGAGAACGGTGGCTACTGTG